CTGTGACGAAATCCTTCGCGTCGTGCTGCCTTTGCGCACATATTTGAAGGCGATAACTGGTGTATCGCGCGTCTGTTTGCTGGTTTGGTGTCTGCTTCTTTTGTTTCTCGAGTCTATAGATTTCAAGACCCGGCTTCTGTTCAGAAATTTGACACTCGATATGAGCGCAAGGAAGTTCAGACACAATATTCTAGACATTTCGCGTAGCCCCACAAGCCCATCCAGAAACGATGCCCGGGCAAGTTGACTTGATTGTCGCTTGCTGTGGACTGACGGCTTGGGGAAGCCGTCACACCCAAAGAAAGCGAGGATGGAGAAAGAATCGGAGGAGGAGGGGAGGAGGAGGGGGAAGGGGAAAAGGAGGGAGGGAGGAAGAGAAACAGGCGGAGGAGGAGGAGGAGGAGGAGGAGGAGGGCGAGCAGAATGGCAAGAGACCTTTTGGATGCTTCTCGGGGTCTCTTCGGATGTCTCCTGACAGCTTCTTTGAGTCCTCTTGGAGCGTCGTGGAGGCCTTTTGGCGGTCAGTCCCGGGGGGGCTTCTTGGAGCGTCCTGGGTGCGTCGAGGGGTGCGTCGGGGGGGTTTCTTGGGGCCCTTGTCGGTCTCTTGGGAACATATTGGGGACCTCTTGTGTCTTGTGGGTTTCTTGGGGCCTCGTGGGCGCCTCTCGGAGCCATTTGGAGGCACTCTTGGGAGCGGAGCCTTGGGGGCCATCTTGGAAGAGCTCGATCAAAGAAGGGCGGGGAATGAGGCCCCCCCCTCCCCCCAGGAGGCCAAACTGGGCCCAGCACCGGAGCAACATCAATGATTTGTCCCTCCTCGCCTGGGCCTTCTTGGACGCTCTGACTGGTTGGGTCCTTCGCCAGGCTAGTTTTTTGATTGGGGGGCAGCATCATCAGCATGCCACGTGGAGTTCACCGTCTGTTCCCGCGCACGCCGTGCCTTGCTCCTTCTGGCCTGAGGGGCAAAAGCGCCGCTAGTTCCCACTAGTGATATTAATGCCGCGGTGGCGTCCGCTGCCAGAGCGATCTCGAGACGCAGGCAAAGTTCTACAGCGATCTCGGGACACAGGGAAAGTTGTGCAGCGGTGTCAGGGTCAAGCAAGAGTGAGAAACGTCGGTGCTTGGAGGAGGGTCTCGGAAGCTCGCGTTTCTACCCTCGCTTTGGCACCATGGTGCCAGGCGTAGTCCTTCAGATCCTTCGCACCCCGGGCCGTCAGGGCGCACAAGTCCGACTGCTCCCGCGGCATGGACAAGCTCTTCGCGGGGGTGGACAGGCACGAAGTGGACGGCCTGAAGAACGAGATGTTCAAGATGATCTTTACCACCATGGGTGAGGAGCCGCGGGCTCTTTCGTCGTTCGCGTTCAGCGGCAGGACGGCGAGAGTCAGAGCAGGATCGTGGAAGATGAGTTTGGTTGCGACGACGTATATACATATAACGGGAGATTGGGTCCGTGAACCTTCGGGCTGGAATTTGGAACACAATTGGGAAGTTTGGGGCGACCCACGCACATCTCGGGAGCCCCAGATCGACGCCGAGAGCGATCAGACAGCCGTCAAGACGATCCACGGCGGCCTCAAGTCATTCCAAGACGGCCTCCAGACGGCTCAGTCGGCAACTCCAGCCGCCCGAGTTGTTGCTTCCAAGACGCCCCGAGAGTTCTCCAGGAGGCCCTCCACGGCGTCTCTGGGAGGCCAACATCGCAAATTTCCTTTAGGCTTTTGAAGGTTAGTAAGGTGCTCGCCGTACGGCCCAAGACGGTTCAAGAGGTGCCACAAGTCGCCCAAGGTCGGCCCAATTGGCCTCCAAGAAGGCCCCACGACGACCCGAGAAAGCCCCAAGACGTCTCGGGAGAGCCCCAAGAGAGCCCTAAGAGATCTTCGAGAGGTTCCCACGAAAACGAAAGCACCCCTGAAGCGGCCGAGGAGGACCCCAGGACGGCCCGAAAGGGCTTCAAGAGGACCCCGAGAGGTTGTCGCATGGCGTTTTCGGGTCCAAGGGCCTGGCATCGCTTGGACGTGTGCATTTTTTCTCGGCGAGAACCATCGAGGACCAGCCTCGACCAACGAGCAAAACAAACACGCACGAAACCGAAAAATGCACGGGAAATGGACGTCCGAGCGACGGCGAGAGGGGGCTCCAAGACGGGCCAGGAGGGCCCCAGGAGGCCACCCAAACGGTCCCAGGGTGCCCCGAGTCACCGCGAGATCGGTCCAAGACGCCAAAGGTGGCCCCAGAGCCGGCCCAAGAAGCGTCCGAGATGCGCCTGCCAGGAGCCTTCCCAAAAGGGCCCCGAGAGGCCCACAGCATCGATTACCCTCGCGGCTTTGTAATGTTCTCGGGGTCTTCGACGTTTCGAGCTTCCGTTCCAGGACGGCCCAAGAGGGCCCCCAGACCGACATGGATGACGGGGGCGGGGACGGTGATGAAGACGAGGATTCTGGCTCTGATTCTGACTGGCCCCTATAATAGGGCCAGGTCGCTACAAGAGATGGCGACGACACGACTACGATGAGACAAGCGGCGCCTCGCCCGCAGGGGCAGGTGCGGGCGCTGCGGGTCAACCTGGGCAAGGCCCAGGCGTAACAAAGAACAGCACCCACTCCGACTACAACTCAGACCGTAAAGTGTCACGGAGATGATGCGGCAGGGCCCAGCATGCGTGTTTGGATACCCGGGGTGTTTGCGCAGATGCGCATCGGAGCAATAGCTTCCACCACCTCTTTTCTGAGCAACCCGGCTCCGCTCTTGTCAAGCTCAGGCGCATCGCGACTGCGAAGCAGGATTGCAATCGAAACATGCCAGATCCTCGAACCGGAAGGCCAAACACAACACCGCACGTGGTTGTTGCCACCTCGACCAGAATTGCCAGTGCTGAGGAGAACATGCCGGGGCACACGCATCCTGCCACCCCCGCCAACATATCGGCAACACCAGCGTCCAGACCGTCTCGCCACCGAGCCGTACAGTCGGGGCCCTGAAGAAGGAACCCTTTTGGTTGGGGAGGGGCTCCGCGTTCCTTAAGTGTTTCGCAGCTTGCCTCAGGTTTTCCTCATGTTTTCGATAGGAAATCGAAGTTTAACTTATGGAAAAAAAGGGGCCTCGTTCCTTATTTAGAGTTCCATAGGTCAACGCCCCGACTGTATCATCTCAGTAGGACGCCAAGGACAGCGGCGGCTGCCTCGCAGCAGCGGCAGGCGCCGCGAAGCCTCGGCCGGCAGGCACTCGTGGCAAGCTGAGCGATGGCCGAATTCACGGGCGTTCGCCGACCGTTTGCGACAAGGGTGGAGCAGACCAAGTGAACGCCGGGATCGGTGGGGGCCTGTGAAGTGACGCCCCAAACAGCCACACAAGCCACACTGACAGCAGTCCTGCTGAGCAACATGATTCGTAAGCATTGGCAGATTCAAGTACCGTGGGTCCACATCTATGGGAGGCCCGTGCCTGCTGAGGTCATCAAAGCCCTGGGGGCAGGGGGGGAGTTACTTTCCCGAAGTGTGCATCTGGAAGGGGATCCCGTCCATCCATCAACTTCGCTAACCTACGTTTGGTGGTATCTGCCCTGGAATCTGGAGACATGCGCAGCTGTGTTGACGTCGAGAACCGGGACGCACTAGCACCCAAGCGCGCGCGAAGCGCACGCGTGGTTGTAGTATACATGTGTTCCGCAATAGATGCAGTGATACACGTATTCAGATCTTATAAACGTAAACACACAGATGTAGATGTACCCGTAGATCATATATGTAGCACACTATTTATATATACAGATATGGTGCAATCAATATGGTGCGATCCAGGTTGTGCACTCTATGTGGTGCACTCTGTGAGTAGACATCTATGTGTAGCCATCTATGTGGCGCATTACATATATATGTATGTATACACACAGGCATGGTGCAATATACGTGGTGCAACCTGTGTGCAAGCGATCAGGCGGAGACGAGGCGGCGACGGAGCAGCGGCGGCGGCAACATGGCCGCCAGACCGTCACCCTGGCCCCGACGACGGGCGGCGACAGGGCAGCGACGGCGACAACATAGCTGCCCGACCGCCACCCAGGCCCAGAGGACGGGCGGCGACGAGGCAGCGACGGCGACAACGTAGCTGCCATGCTGCCACACAGGCCCAGAGGACGGGTGGCGACGAGGTGGCGACGGAGCGGCGACGGGGCGGCGACGGCGACAACATGGCCGCCATACCGCAACACAGGCCCAGAGCACGGGCGGCGACGGGGCGGCGACGGCGACAATTTTGCCGCCAGACTGCCACACAGCCCCAATTCCTGGGAAAACGAGTCATCCTTAGAAAGTGAGTAACGACCCCTAGGTGCAAGCACTGCTTGTGGCAGTTATAACCGTCGTCTGGGTCCCCAGGCCCAGGGGCAGCCCTTTCTTTCAAACAACTCCCCCCTGGCGTCAAACGCTGCCCCCGGGGGTCCCGGGGGGGCTCTCAGAGCCTCGAGGGGCGACTTCGGCGACCTCAGAGGACGCCCAGAGGCCGCCAACATGGCCTTAAGTGGCGTCTAACAGACGCCAGAAGGCTCCAAGATGTCCCGCGTGGCTTCCGCACAGCCCCAGATAGCTTCAAGACGGCCCAAGAGGCTGCGACGAGCGCTCTCCCGAGGGCCCCTAAGAGGCAAGAGCTCATGTTTTTTTATGGGTTGTTCAGCATGTTTTCGGGGTTCTCGATTTTTCTAGCTTCCGACGCTCCAAGACGGTCCAAGATGGCCCCCAAGACGGCCCAAGATGGCGGTAAGACGACCCAGGACGTCCCCAAGACGGGCCCAGAGAGGCGCCCAGTTGGGCTCCAAGATGGCCCCTAGGGAGCCCGAAGCGACAATTAGATCTTCCGGTCCCAAGATGCCGGCCCGACGAGGCCCCCAAGAGGTCCCCAGCAGGACCCCCAAGACGCCCCAACACGGCGCCAAAACAGCCCCAAGTAGGCTTCAGAATGGCTTCCACGAGACTCCCGAGAAGCCTCCCGCGCTACCCCAACCAATATCCCAGAGCCCACAACCCAGGCACGGTGGCACGGATGGTCCGCCGCCCTTGTTGGCTTGCCGCAGGGTTGCCCGGCGTGCTAGACGTTCTGAAAAGTGTTAGTCTTTAAAAGATTCCCGTTGCGGCTTCGGCACAGCTCGCTGGCCACCCGCAACGGGTGGTTGCCAAGGTTCTTCCTGCTCCAGACGGCTCCTAAATGGCCCACGATGGCCTCCAACACGGCAAAGGTAGCCCCCAAGCCCGCCCAAGAAGGCCCACGATGGCCTCCTAGACGGCCAAAGAGGATCAAACCCCAAGAAGCCACACAGACGGTCCAACATAGCCCAAGAGTGCCCCAATAGGCCTTGAAGACGACTCAAAAGGCTTCCAACAGGTCCTCAAGGAGGGCCCGAAGAGGCCAACATCGTTGATTTGTCTTACGTAGGTGTTTGAAGGATTTAGGCATGTACTTCTTTTCGGCCTTCCGATGGCCCAAGACGGCCCAGAAGGCCCCAAGGATCGCCCCCAGTGCGCCCGAGAGGCCTCCAAGATGGCCCAATAACCACCCAAGTGGCTCCCAAGACGGCCCCAAGTGGGCCCAAGACGGCCCAAGAGGCTTCCAAAACGCCCAAGATGGCCCCTCAGACGGCCCTGAGAAGGCCCAGAGAGGCCCCCAAGACGGCTTCCGACTGCGTCAGACGTGCCAGGAACGTTCTACGACGGCCAAAGAGCCCCCCAAGAAGCTGCCAAATGCCCCCAAGAGGCCCGAGGAGGCTTCCAAGAGGCCTCCTAGAGGCCCCCAGGAAGCTTCCACGAGCCCCCAAGAGTGCCTCAATAGGCTCCTGAGAAACCTCCTCCTTTTCTTCCCCTCTCCTCCTCCGCCTCCTCCTCCTCCTCTTACTATTATTATGCGTCTTCTTCAGATTATATTCTATGTGTTTCGTATTACGAGTATTATGATTATCATTCGTTTTCTCATGATCCTTTTTCTGAGTATTATCATTTCGCACCCACGTGTTCCCCGAAGGGTTTCCACAACGGTTTGGGGGAAAGATAGTCCGATAGATTGGCCGAGTCATGGTTACAACGCTCGGCCACATAGGTGCTTCCACAGAGACAGGGGGCGTCGGTGATTCGCCGTAGGCGTCTTCGATTTTCTGTATAGTCAGATATGTACAGACCTACATCTACATACATGTGGGTACACACATTTACATGCCTGCATGCATGCATGCATGCATGCATACATGCATACATACCACGTACATACACACATACATCCATGCATGTAAACATACACGCATACATACATACATGCATACAGACAGACAGACAGACAGACAGACATACGTACATACATACATGCATGCACCCATACATACATACATATATATATATATATATGCGTACATGCACACACATACATACATGCATACAGACAGACAGACAGACCGACAGACAGACAGACAGACATACATGCATGCACCCATACATACATACATACATACATACATACATACATACATACATACAGATGCATGCATACATATACATATATACATATATATATATACATGCATGCATGCACACATACACACATACATACATACAAGTGGCCGTCGGCCCATCTCGCCACCGTGCCTCGGTTGTGGGTATGAAGCCTACTGGATGTTCGTTGGGTTCTCGTGGGAGGCCTCTCGGGGGCCTTTTCGAGGCAGTTGTGATGCATCTTGAGGGCCGTGCTCGGGCCTCTTAAGGTCTCATTGGGAATGGGGGACGTTTCGAGACCCTCTTGGGCCGTCGTGGGTGCCTTTTGGGCCGTCTTGGGGCGTTCTTAGGCCGTCTTGGGGCCCTCTCGGAGATCTCTTTGGCTGTCTTAGGGTGGTCTTGGAGGCCTCATGGGCCGTCTTGGAGCGTCGGAAAACAGAAACGGCGAGAACGCCAACATCTTTTAACTACCCTAGGGAAATCAGTCATGTGTGCCTTTGGGGGCCCTCTTGGGAGGCCTCTTGGAGGCCTCTTTGGGCGTCTTGGAGGCCTATTGGGCCATCTTGAGGCCATCTTGGGCGTCTTGGAACAATATTTCGGCGACTCGGGGCCCTCTTGGGCCGTCTCGGGGGCCTGGTAGGGCCCTCTTTGCCATTCTTGGGCCCCCGTGGGCCCGAACAAGTCGTGCGACAAGATGCGCCTGAGCCGCGACAAGCCCAAGGAGATGTGTGAGTTCGGATTCCGCGCCCTTGAAAGACTGCTCAGGAGTGCGCAAGGGATTAGGCAAAGGACCTGAGGACGCGCCTACTCTGTGCCGGGCGGCACAGTGGCGGATATATGAGTACACACAGATACACACATGTATATATATATATAACACAAATACATAGACACACATGTATACACATAGAGCTGACAGAGACGGCGTTGAACCTCTACGGACTTAGTCGGTGTGATTTCGGAGCCCTTTCGGGCCTCCAGGGGCCTCTCGGCGCCACGACCAGATCCTCTTCGAAATGGTGGCCGCAACATCCCCCAGGCGAAGTGCGGGGGTGCGTTTTCGGATTCTCGAACTCACAATGACGGATCGCGTCGGGTACATGTTTGTTTTCTTTGGGGGGGAATGTGACCCTTTGCGGGGCACCAGGAACCCACAGGGAGCCTTGTTTGGTGCCGTCCTCGGTGCCCTGCCGTGGACAGTGCTGCGTGCCGTGCCGAGTGCCGTGCTGGCTGCCGCCCGCGGCCTTGGCAGGGCTCCAGGCAGCGGCGGCCCGAGCAGCCCAGTCGGGCTCGGCGGGTCCTGCCGGGTGCTCGGCCGCACGCGAGCAGCACACCACCCTGCAGTCCAGTCGGGATTGCTGCGTCTTGGCGGGCGCTCTGCGGCGCACCAGCTGGGGGGGGGGGGGGGGCGAGGCACGAGGAGCGCGGTCTTGGGCGGCGGGCTATTTTTGTGGCCCGTCGCCCGGCGATGGGGCGGCCCCTTCGGGGCCCCGCCGCCGCCCACAACACCTCGACTCCTCGGGGTGGCCCGAGGCGCCCCCCCCCGGCCGCGAGGCGCGGTCACGCGGGGGTGCCCAGGGGCGTCCGTTGGGGCCGCTGTGTCCCCAAAGCGCTCCCCCGGCCGCGAGACGCGGCCAAAGGGAGGTGCCCGGGGGGCGTTCGAGGTTGAAGTCGTGGTGCCCCGAGGCGGCACCCCTGGTCGCGAGACGCGGTCCAGGTGGGGTGCCCAGGGGGCGGTCAAGGTTCAGACCGCGGTCTCCCGAGGCGCCCCTCCCCCTGTCGCGAGGCGCGGCCAAGGGGAAGGCCCAAGGGCGTCCGAGGTTGACGCCGTGGTGTCCCGAGGCGCTCGCCCGGCCGCGAGACGCGGTCAAGGTGGGGGCGCTTGGGCGGCGCTCAAGGCTGACGCCGTGGTGTTTTGGGGCGCCCCCGCGGCCGCGAGTCGCGGTCAAGGGGGGGTGCCTAGGGGGCGCTCAACGTTGAAGCCGTGGTGTTCTGGACGCCCCCGCGGCCGCGAGACGCGGTGAAGGGGGGGGGGCGTCCAGGAAGCTGTGTCCTGAGGCGCCCCGTCCGCAAAACACTCAAGTGGATGCCCGGCTGACCAAGCACAGCACCGACGGCTTTGTTCGGTGCACCTCTGAGATTCCAGACAGGCGGCGACCGTGTCAAGAGGCCCTCCCGAGGGTCCTCGGCTTGGCCTCGAATGCCCCCAGGACCCCAGAGACCGTCCAGCGGATCCAGCCTCGGCTCCAGTAGGCCATCAGACGGCCCGAAAATATCCAGAGATATCCCAAGATGGTGTCTTCTTTGCCCAGACAGAGACCGTAGGAATTATGTTACAGCATGTTCTTCTGAGACGGCCCCACGAGTCCACGAGAGCCCCATGAGGACCTCTTAGTTATCCCGCCCATCCTTTGTACTCCATCCCTTCTCGAGCGAACCTTTTGTGTCTTGCCATTTTCTCTCTCTCTCTCTCTCTCTCTCTTCTCCTTGGTCCTCCATTCCGCCCTCCTTCTTCCCCTCCTTCTGTTTCTCCTTCCGCCGTCCCCTTGCATGACTCGTTTCTCATCCCTGCTGCGGCGCGTTCCTCCTCGTTCTTCCCTTCCCTCTCTAGCCCTCCCGTTGCGCAGGGGACCTGCACTTACCACCTTCAGCCCAGGTTCCCAGGGCTCTTTCGTCGGATGCCCTGTCTTTACGCTATCCGACGGATTCGCGCATCCGATCGCAGTGCATTGTTGCGCATTGTATGTGTATTGCTCACTGGTGTTTTGCAACGTATTCCTTTACATACTTCTGATGTGTCCGGATCTGTACTGGATTGCAGTTCCGTGCGGTTGTTTTGCGAATTGTTCTTTGAATTGCTCTGCGTCCCTTTGCGTTGCGATAGGTTTTCGTTACATCCGCTTGCCAGAAAATGTTTGTTGCATTTCATTGCCATTGCAACGCGTTCGCTTTCGTTCGTGGCTGCGCACCGTCTTGTGTTGCGTCGCTTTGAAGATGACTGGGTGCACCTCTAACGGCAACGTTCGGTCTGCATTCGCGTTACTTCTTCAACACATGGCTATTTCTTGTTTGGGTATGTGCGTGCATGCGTGCAGTTGTGAATTTGTCAAGGACGGATGCTTGTTAAAATTTAGACGCGCGCGAAGCGTGCGCGTGGTTGTAGTTTTTTCTTTCGAGGCAACGCATTGGCCTCCAGAGTTTTCCCCACATGGACTCGTTCCAGGTGGTGCCCCGGTACGCCAGGCATGCAAGACAATGCGTAAATATGTGTATCTGACAGTTTGAGTTTATGAAAGCACAAGGGGATTATGCACACTAGTAAGTGTACAAAACTCATACGTATAAAGGCACACATGTGTATATACGCATGGACATGGGCGCCCCAATCTGTCTTTACAATTATTGTTGCGACGGTCCCTGCGCGGCGCCCCGACCAGGAAGTGGAACCCGAGGACCTTGAGAGGGCCGTAGTCGTCCACTACCAGAAGTTCAACCAGATCTTCGTTGTCGCCCTCACGCTCCTGACGCTCGGCCTCTTTTGTCTCTTCCGGCCCAGGGACGACGACACCGTGCTGGTGCTCACCAAGCGTGATGGGCGCGTGTTCGCGCAGAAGACGGAGCGCACGAATTTCTGCGAAGGCAGAAACTCGGGGGCGTTGCTGATGTTCGTCCGGTACCTCGTTATTCTGTTTCTGGTGTTGGCGACGCCATCCTTGATTTATGTTCTGTTTTACGACAACCAGAATCTAGATTCAGGAACCGATATTTGGCAGCAGGTGCTCTACGAAGAGGCGCACTTGATACGGCTGCTGAAGGCCAAGGAGAAGTTATCGTTTTATTTGTACGCGCTCGGCGCACTGGTAGTTATTTTTTTCCTGTACCTAAATCCAGCTGCCTGCGGCAAACCCCGCCACCGTGTTAGTGCAACAGCGCAGAAGGAAAGGTACAGTGGGGACCCATGCCGAGAAACACCCAGCTTGCCTCCAGGGTGCCCCGGATTTCCTGGGTTTCGATGGTTGCGCGACAGGGAGCGTGACGCTCCCGCCCCAAACATCGACGGACCTCCTGGGGTCTCAGGGCTGGGTTGCTTGTGGACGGTCCCTCGTGGTCGGGCCCCCTACTGTCTGCGCTGGCGCGGGTCGTGGTCACCCCTCCTTCCCCTCCCCCTCCCCCTCCCCCTCCCCCTCTCCCTCCCCCTCCTTCCCCTCCTCGTTCCTCGAAGGTATCTTAGAAGCGTCTTGGCGTCGTCTTTGGGGACATCTCTCGGGCCTATCTGGGGCGCGATGGTGCAACCGAGCTCTTCTGAAGGAGCTCGGTGGAGCCATGTTTGGGACGTCCTGGGCAGGTCCTGGAGGTTTCTTAAGGCCCTTGTGCTTGGGGCGGTCTTTCGCTGTATTGGAATGCTCTTCGACCGTCTCGAGGCTTCTCGGGGCCGTCGTGGGGGTCTCGTCGAGCTTGCGGAACTTTTCCCGACGCGTCCTTCAGCCGACAAGCCTCTGAAGGAAGACATTAGATTTCAATGTCGTATGTTATTAGTGTGCTGGCCTCCGGCCAGTACCGCCGATCCGGGGCGTTCCGGAGGATGATGATGATGATGATGATGATGATGATGATGATGATGATGATGATGATGATGATGATGATGATGATGATGATGATGATGATGATGATGCTGATGCTGATGCTGATGCTGATGATGATGATGATGATGATGATGATGATGATGAGGTTGAGGTTGAGGTTGAGGTTGAGGTTGATGTTGATGTTGATGTTGATGATGATTATGTTGATGATGATGATGATGATGATGATGTTGATGATGATGTTGATGTTGAGGTTGAGGTTGATGTTGATGTGATGGTAATGATGATGAGCATGAGCATGAGCATGACCATGATGATGATGCTATTGTTGATGAGGATGATGATGTTGTTGGTGACGTTGATGATGGTGGTGATGATGATAGTTAGTGATCGTGATCATGATCATGGTAATGGCCATAGGGCCATCCTGGGCGTCTTGGACCGATCGTTCGGTGATTCGGGGCTTTCTTGGGCCGTCTTGAGGGCCTCGTGGGGCCCTCTTGGTCCGTCTTGAGCTTCTGGGGCTCGAGAAAGGTATGCGGGAACCTTCCGGGGGCCCCAGAGGGCGCGGGGAGCCTCCAGAGTTTTTGAGAGCTTGGGGTCCGGGCGCATGAAGAATCCTCAGGCTTGAAGACGGAGGCTCAGGAGATTGAGCAACGGGACTTGGGGAAGCCTCTCGAGGGTCGTTTGGGTGTCTCTTTCGGGCCTCTTGGGGGCCTTCTGGGGCCTCCTGGGGGCTTCTTGGGGGCCTAGGGCCCCCCTGCCCCCTAGCACTGAATGCGTCGAGAATTGCGTCCCCCTGCCCCCCCCCCTCTCCAGAGCCTCCTGGGGGCTTCTTGGGGGCCTGTGGGCCCCCCCGCCCCCGAGCACTAAATGCCTCGGGAATAACGTCCCCCCCCCTTCCTGCAGAGCGAAGCTTGAGCGAACTCAAGTCCACGCTCTCAGAAACTCACACGCCGGATCGGCGGATTTTCATCGGCCTTCTGGGACCTCGCTGGCGGACTCTTCCGACGCCTCCTGGGTTTCATTACTGTCTCTTGGGGACATTGGAGCATTAGGGACTCGTTGGCCCGTTTTGGGTTGGTACTCGGGCATCTTCTGGCCGTCTTGGATCTGTCTTCGGCAGCACTACAGTCATCTCGACGCCGAAGAGCAAAATTTTTAGAGGTTCTGGGCGGCGCGGCGTGCACGGCGCGCTCGCGGGGAGGATCGGCCTTGGAAAAATTAACAGAAGCCCAAACACCTGAAACTCATGCTAAGAGGGCTCGACATAAATTGTGTTTTGGCGATTTCGTGTACCACTTTCGTTTCGATTTCGTCTTGCAGCAAAGGCGAACGAAGACAGCCCGAGGAAGACAAAAGCAAAACGACCAGGAAAGCACTAATCAGGTCGATCCCTGCATCCGACCACTCCTACTACCGCGCAGGAGCGGTAGCGGATATACCACGCACGACCCATTCAGGAAGCCAGGAAAGCACGTGGACACAAGCCTGGGACGTCCGCGGACGGTGTTTGCGTCAGCGCCGGGCCCTGGGCCCCCACCCCTTCGCCTCTTCGCCGGCGCAGACGCCATCCGTGGATTTCCGAAGAAAGTATGTGTGTGTGCGTGTGTGTGTGAATGTGTGTGATTGTGTGCGTGCGTGTGTGTGTGTGTGAATGTGTGTGAATGCGCGTGTGTGTGTGTGAATGTGTGTGTGTGGTGTGTGTATACGTGTGCGTGTGCGTGTGCGTGAGCATGTGCGTATTATGTGGTGTGCGTGGGTGAATGTGTGTGTGTGCGCGTGCGCGTCAGCGTGCGCGTGCGCGTGCGCGTGCGAGTGCGCGTGCGCGTGCGCGTGCGTGGTCGCGTGCGCGTGCGTGCGCGTGCGCGTGCGCGTGCGCGTGCGTGTGCGTGCGCGTGTGCGCGTGTGCGCGTGTGCGCGTGTGCGCGTGTGCGCGTGTGCGCGTGTGCGCGTGTGCGCGTGTGCGCGTGTGCGCGTGTGCGCGTGTGCGCGTGTGCGCGCGTGCGCGTGTGCGCGCGTGCGCGCGTGCGCGCGTGCGCGCGTGCGCGCGTGCGTGCGTGTGTGCGTGCGCGCGTGTGCGCGCGTGCGCGTGCGCGTGCGCGTGCGCGTGCACGTGCGCGTGCGCGTGCGCGTGCGCGTGCGCGTGCGCGTGCGCGTGCGCGTGCGCGTGCGCGGTCGCGTGCGCGTGCGCGCGCGGGTGTGTGTGTGTGTGTGTGCGTGTGTGCGTGTGTGCGTGTGTGCGTGTGTGCGTGTGTGCGTGTGTGCGTGTGCGTGTGCGTGTGCTGGCGTGGGCGCGGGCGTGGGCGCGGGCGCGGGCGCGGGCGCGGGCGCGGGCGCGGACGCGGGCGCGGGCGCGTGCGTCAGCGTGTGCGTGCGCGTGCGCGTGCGCGTGCGCGTGCGCGTGCGTGTGCGTGTGCGTGTGCGTGAGCGTGTGCGTGCGCGTGCGCGCGCGTGCGCGCGCGTGCGCGTGCGTGGGCGCGCGGACGCGCGGGCGCGCGGGCGGGCGGGCGTGCGGGCGTGCGTGCGTTCGTTCGCGCTTGCGCGCGCGTGCGTGCGCGTGTGTGTGTGCGTGTGCGTGTGCGTGTGTGTGTGTGTGTGTGACTGTATGTGATTATGTTTGTGTTTATGTGTATGTGTGCGTGCGTGAGCGCGTGCGTGCGTGCGAGCGTGCGTGCATGCGTGCGTGCGTGCGCGCGTGCGCGCGTGCTTGTGTGTGTGTGCGTGTATGCGTGTGTGTGCGTGTGTGCGTGTGTGCGTGTGCGTGTGTGTGCGTGTGTGCGTGTGTGTGTGTGTGTGTGTGTGTGTCTGTGTCTCCGTGTCTCTGTGTCTCTGTCTCTGTCTGTGTCTCTTCCTCTGTCTCTTCCTCTGTCTCTGTCTTTCTCTCTCTCTCTCTGTCTCTGTTTCTGTCTCTGTCTCTCTCCCTGGCATTGGCTCTGGCTCTGGCTGTGGCTGTGGCTGTGGCTGTGGCTGTGGCTGTGTTTGTCTGCGTGCGTGCGTGCTTGCGTGCGTGTGTGCGTGTGTGCGTGTGTGCGTGTGTGCGTGTGTGCGTGTGTGCGTGTGTGTGTGTGTGTGTGTCTGTGTCTGTGTCTGTGTCTGTGTCTGTGTCTGTGTCTGTGTCTGTGTCTGTGTCTGCGTCTGTGTTTGTGTCTGTGTCTGTGTCTGTGTGTGTGTCTGTGTGTGTGTGTGTCTGTGGTTCTGGCTGTGGTTGTGGCTGTGGCTATGGCTGTGGCTGTGTCTCTGGCTGTGCCTGTGCCTGTGCCTGTGCCTGTGTCTGTGTCTGTGTGTGTCTGTGTGCTGTTGTGGCCACCTGCGCATGGCACGCGCTCGCATCAGAACCACGCGGCCAGCAACCTCTGCGTGGGCCAGTTCACCCTCACCGGCGGAGAGTTCCGCAGGCGCGCCGAGCCTTTCTCGGGGGCGGCCAAGAGGGGGGTGATGACTAGGGGGGGCGGGATGTCATGGTGTGGGCCATGATATTCCCCTAGATTTCATGGCGCCTCCTCTTATTCCATTACTTCTGTGGCCCCCCCCCCTCATGGGCCGCGCACATGCCGCCGGCCATGATTTGTGCCCCCCCTCTTGGACGCCCCGCTCTTGGCCGCTCCCGACTCACCTGCGAAGCCCCACTCACCGTCGCTCCTCTTGCGGTTCGTCTCGTCTGCTCTCGCCGCCTCGCAGCGGGTTCGAGTCCACCCAGACAGCCGGCGGCGTGGCTCCTTTCAGCGCGGGGTCCCTGGAGCTCCCGACCCCTTCACACGGACCAGCCGGTCGTGTCGGATCGTTCCAAATTTGATGTCCCCAGAGTGTAACGCGGCGGGAGGCATGCCCACATCCACGACCTCGCGGGCCGGGTCCGTGGGCCGCGCCCCCATGGACGTTGTGGTTACGGGGTCGCCGCGGATGCCCCGCGCAGAATGTATTCATGCGACCGCGTGGCCACGGCTGGTCTCTGGAGGCCAAGATCGATTCATAAACGCCGGAGATGAAACAGACATCAACCCGCTCGGGGAGCACGGTCTTCTTGGCACACCGTACCCACATCCCATGTGTTCGTTCATTTGGTCGATCATCTGGGCGGGCGTGGTGCCAGTGGAATCACATGCGGCCCTGCGTTTGTACATCGCTGGGCGAGTTCACTGAGCAATTTCGTGGTGGTTTGACTCGGTACATCATCGGCGCTGGTAGATCTGGGTCGAAGATCCACCCGAATCCCGTCTGGGTGGCAAAGGCTCGCG